GCTTCATTCAATACAAGCAAAAACAACTGTCGAATGTTTAGCCTGCGAAACAGAGAAATTCCTCAAGAAAAACTCATGAGATTCTTATGTAATACGAAATCAAATGTGATGAGTGTTCCAATTGTTTACTCGCAATTCAACAATGAAATTCACTCTGATTTCATTTAAAAAATCTCGTTCTCTCATTCCAAATGCCCTCGCTGTTTGCCTCCTTTCAAAATCAGCTAACAACCTAAGTGATCACCCATAAAATTCACAATTTATGAATCTCATCATTTATTTTTGCTTACAGTGGATACGAATTGGTTCAAAACTGCCAGCGAGCACAGATTCGGAACATGAATGATTAATATGTTGTATCGAAGTGATTGATCACATTTGGAGCATCCACTAATTTGAGAGAGAGAGTGAATATTCGGTGAAAAACTAGCCAATTATTTCTCCTCATTTCTTTTCTAATACTTAAATTATTACAATACATTCGTCCATTTGTGAATTTTCGAATTTTGAGAATTTCTATAAAAGATTTCATTCTTTCGTTTGAAATTTACCATTTTTCATTATTTTCATTCAAATTTCTATTCCATTTCTTCTCATCAGAGACTATGATTCTATTGTTTTCCATTTCAATTGTATAGTTTATATTTTCATTTCATCAGGTGTTTAATGAATAAAACATGATCAATATAATTGAATTCGTTACAAAATCAAGCAATTCTTGTCAAATTTTAATTTCTGTCTACATTAGTGGTTCTCATAGGGGTGAAATTACTCATTCTGGGTAATTTGGAGGTGTCGAGGGGTAATGAAGGGGGTTGGGAGATCAGCATTTCATTTTCATTCGCCTAACAGACCTTTCATTCGTTTTAGCAGGGTTTTCATTCTTTTTCGTGCTGTTAAAATCGCTCTCATAGCTTTTATCACCAGAAGTGTTTGTCTTTTGCTAATTTCTCATTCATTTCATTCAACAATCAAAGTCAAATTCTCATTCTATCAAATACACTCTATAATTGATCGTTTGACTGTTGAGCAATTCAATTCAATTGTTGTATTGTTGGTTTCGGCTGTCAACACTCGTCAACGCATCAAGTAAATAGTATATGCTACAGAATGAGAAATTGATTCTAATCGTGAAATGAAATAAGACGAAATGAATGAGAAAAACTCATCAAGAGAACGGTATTCGCATGTGATAGCTATGAGAGTGAATACAACACGTCTGAAAAGAATGAGAATCCATCTGAATCAGTATGAAGTGAGCGTGTCACAGACAATAGCTCTTCATGCATTCATAATCGATTGCAATCATGAGCAACGCAATGGTCTAGGACAGTGCTTCTCATAAGAAGTGAAATTACTCGTTTTCGATAATTTGAGGGTGTCTAGGGGAGGGAGGTGGTACCGACGGCCTGCCACAATATCAAAAGGGGCAATGGAGCACCCGAACGTGAGAACCACTGGTCTATATGGTAAACGTTCACAGCAATGACAGCAATTCAATGAACATCATTTTTGATGAGTTAGTAACATTTAACTATGTTAGTAACGTTCTAGGGAAGAAGCATTAATTGGCCTATGATATATATCTTAAAAAATTATAATTTGTTACTGGTAGAGCGAGGAGGTGAATGACTGGTCTATGACTGACTATTGTCGAGACCGGATCGAACAATATGGATGGTTTCGTGCATTCTAGATTATCTGTTAAGTAAGAATAAATTGAATTCGATGACAGCTGGGAGGTAAACGACCGAAATAAATTTTAATTATGCGAAGAAATGAATTTTCATCGAGCAGAGTTCTGGAAAATTAAAAAAAAAGTATTGTAAAATTGAAAAAAAGTTCTGTAAAATTTAAAAAAAAAACTGACCGCATAAACGCATAAGATGTGTTCGTTTTGAGTGTTTCAGACCAACAACTTTCAATGAATTTCATTTCTGAACTGATGCAGTTTATCAGCCAACAGAGCGTTGCACATGAAGCCTGGTGCTATGCCGCTTACTGCTTCCAACTCTAGCTTTGTTCCACTCTTTCGTAGACAGTTCAACTGAAATCATATTTAAACGCTTTACAGCAATATAACACTAATAATAATATTAATAATAATCTTGATAACAAAAACAATAATGATAGTCCCATAGCAACGAGTACTCGTAATCATTGCGTCAATGAATTGCATACCGTTTATAATGAAGTTGTCAACTCAAGAGTTCTGGAAAATTAAACGATACTTTTTGCGATGCTTCCAGAAGAGGATTCTGTCTAGGGAATCGACAACAGACACTCTCATACTTGTATCTTTCGTATCGCTTTGGAACGAGACTTTTATTCAAGAGCATGACTAGCGACTTTGATCAGCTTCATGAGGTGTGTTTTAAAAGCAGTTATTGATAAGATCACCGATATCTCAGCAATTACCTCATCGAGCAGCACCCAATCGTGAAGTATGGCGGCCCTCTGACAGAGTTTATTCGTTTTCCTGAGCTCAGCTTTTTGCAGTGGTAAAAACTGTTCAGTTGGCACTGGATATCTGTAAAGTGGATCTTTTGAAAGTATTTTAGTGAACTCNCAGAGTTTATTCGTTTTTCTGAGCTCAGCTTTTTGTAACGGTAAAAACTGTTCAGTTGGCACTGGATATCTGTAAAGTGGATCTTTTGAAAGTATTTTAGTGAACTATACGAGCCATATTTTTTGGCTTCTCTTTTTGAATAATGCATTCTAAAACAGACCACAGATCTGGTCAAGTAGTCCGTAATGACCTCATCTGTCCGAAGAGAACTAAACTTATTTCGAAATCTCTTGAGGACTCCAAATAATTGCTAATTAATCGTACAACATGAACATTTATACAAAGAAGTCCCAAATGAACAATAGCACTTCATTGTTTCGCAATCGTCCAATAACATCACCGACTTTTCTTCAATATTATACAATTCTTTGAAATTTTATCTGATGACGATTTTCATATTGCTCTCTTTTTGCGTAGTGATTGCATAATCCCCCGACGATTTCCCCAAAAGTTTGCCCTCAGACTTTTTTGTCAGGGTCCTCTCCATCTACTTTACTCCCCATCGAGGTTCCTCCCAGTCAAAAAGCTGCAAAGCAACGAGCACTCTCTCTGACTATGAGTCACTAACCTTTCAATTTCAGCACGCGAAAGTCCAATCCAAGTGAAATTCGGCAGTGATAATTCACCAACTTCAACGCTATTCTTTCGTCCACCATATTTATAAGTCATCGCGATTTCGATTCCTCGACAGATCAATTTTCGGTTCATAATTTAGTCTGAGGAATCGAGGGAACATACCTTTGATGAATGGACAGGTGCATGTTTATAATTCTGATCAATGAACTCTCAAATGATTGATTGCTATGACACATCTTTGAAATCGTTTTGATTGAGAAAATAAATAATTGAAAAAATGGTACCATGCGGATCATTATCCATTAAACCAAATAGAGGAAGTTCATAGAGACTCGTCAAATGTTTCAAAAATCGTCTCGTCGATATATCCGGATAACCTTTACCCTGAAACAATAACCAGCCAACGTCCAATGCACTTACTGATGCCGTCCTTTCCTGTATTACAACTGAACTTTCTGTCGAAAAACCACTACGGTACCCAACCTTTATCATTAGTCAAATATTTACATGTGTATAGTCGAACTTGTTCTGTCAATTTAAATTTCTTACAATATTATACCTATAACTACTATACTGAACAAGCAATATAAGGAGGTGCAAAATTAGAAGATGCTGATTAAGATTAAGGGAGGATATTCATAAAATGATAAACAAATCGCTTGCTTCATTTGCCAATTGAAACAGTCAGTAGTAGTGTATTGCTTGCTGCACTACGAATGTCCAGTGATCTCATTCAAAGCGAACAGCATTCAAAGTTTTTTCAAAGAATGTGATAAGTTACTATTGAAGATTNCGACTCGTTGATAACTGCAAAATTTTTTGTTGTTATTGTTTTAAAATTATTCATCAACACTTCATTCGCCTATTGATAGATTTTTTCGGGTTGTTTCTTGTTTTGTTTGCTTACTTATTCTATAATTCAAAGAATTATTTGCTAAAAACAATTGGGAATGAACTATACGAGTGTTTTATGTTTTAAAATGCATTTGATGGACATTTGATGCTGTGCTTTTCATTAATGGTGATAGTCACCATGGAAATATAGATAAATCTCGAAAAGTGTCTCATCTCAAAACTCACAACGTTTTGTGACATTCGACTTGTGGACAGCAAACGACATACGGCCGTTATACTGACATCTAGGTTGCGCTGAATACCGAATAAACTTTTTTGCTCGTAGAAGAGATCACTAGAAAAGATCACCGGTTCAACAAAATCAACAGTAATATATAGCGAGATGACTGCTACTAGGAATTAACAAGATTCAAATATTATTGTTAGACAATACGAGGAGATATAACAAGAAATTCGAACTCATTAAAATGACTTTAAAAAAACTGATTGAGCGACTTTCATGTGAGAACTACCTAGTGAAATGCTCTTGCAATACACTTCAAGATGATTGCAATTTTCTTTTCTCAATCATTTTCCCAATCGTTATCTACATACACAAGCGATTTACGATTTCTCTCAAAAAATCAATCATTCGTTGCCAACGTTTTAATTGTTATTCGAAAGATTTCTCTAGGATGGGCATCGGATTTCGTTCGATTTTTCGAGTGACTATCAATCGAGCAGTCTCTTTCGGCTTCGGTGGGTAGCCGAGAAAAGGGCAGAAATTTGATCTTCGCTGTTCAAGCTGGTTGACAGTGAATGAATGAATGTTTTCGGTGGCTATCAACGCAACTCTCAATGTCATCCAAACCCAAAACGGATATCCGCATGAAATTAACCGTTTAGTGGCGAAGCAGTTCGTGATTCTCAGATGATAGATTTGAGCAAGTGCTCGTGCACAGAACGCGAATCGACTCGCGTGACGTGGAGTCAATCGAATTTCGTGATCCGAATGCAAATGCTCATCCCTTCAAAGAGCATTTTGACTTTCGCAATCCAATCATCAATATAGGGTAGTTTTGTCACTTGAGTGCAGCTCAACTATTGTTACTATTATTGTGACTGTTGAATTAACCCAACTGTTATAATTTTCTTTATTATTAAGGCCCAAATCTCACCTAAATCTCACCTGAACAGATAATATTGACAAGCAATTAAATTTCCGAGGAAATCGCCCTCG